TCGGTGTCTCCTGTGCCTTGCCAGGTGAGGGAGGGGTGGTCACGGGGGCCTCGGTGCTGGTCTGTACACGGGTGCTTTCGCTGCAGGGCCTCACTTAATCCCCAGGAAACAGCATAGCCAGGGCTTCTCTATCTCCCTCTGACAGTTGAGGAAACAATGGAGCTCCTGAACCTGCTGCAACCTTCTCAGGAACCCGGGACTGGCAGATCAAAGCTCCAAAGAACCCAGGGTCTCACTGCTCTGCCCCTCCCAGCCCTTGAGGGCAGTGGCATTAACCCTTCTTTGGCCCCAGATCCCCTTGAAGCACTCTGCTTCAGATCACCCCCTTCCATGATGCCCTTGGGTCGGTGGATTGCACACCCTGCAGGCCTCCCTGTGCCAGGTTACAGCCTCTGCTCCAGGAAACTCACGGGGTCGGGCTTGAGCTCGAGCACTTCACCTCAGCAGCACCTGCTCCCAGAATAGGATTCTACTCACAGAACCAGGGTATTTGCTTGGTGACTGTCCCCCAGTCAGGTTGATGTTGTGACCTGGGTTGGAGCTGGTCAGGGCACAGTGTGGGCTGTGCTGGATGTGGCAGTCAGGGCTCAGGGCTGTGCTCACCCACTCCTGACCAGCCTCTGCCTGCTGTGTTTCTAGGTCTCTTATCAGAAATCACCGATCCAGAGAGCTTCCTGAGGGACTTGTTGAACTCAATCCCCTGACCGCGCACACGAACTGCAGCTGACGAAGACTGAAGCTAGCTTGCCTTCATCCCTCTGTTCTTCCCTCCTCGTGCATCGATCCCCCACGGGATGCTGCGTATTACCCCTTCCTTCCCCCATCTTTTCTTGGAGTGGCTTGGGGTTTTTAGGCTTCCTGTTTTATCTTGTGTGTGTGGTGCACTAGCTATGAAGTTGTCTGTGACCCAAGCCACCGAAGGACCTGTACATACCTAGGAGCCATGAATTGGCCTGGCCAACTTAATACTTGAGCGTGCACATCTTGAAAAATAAACGAATGACTTAATACACATTGAAAAAGGAGGTGTCAACTGCTGCATAAAGCCCATCCTTAGGGACACTGGCTGAATGGTTTCCCCTGAATGCACGGCCCTTTCGGTGTCAGCGCAGAAGACTAACATGTCAGAATCACTGTCT